AGAGAGAGAGAGAGAGAGAGAGAGAGAGAGAGACAGAGAGACAGAGAGACAGAGAGACAAAGAGACACAGAGAGAGAGACAGAGACAGAGAGACAGAGACAGAGAGACAGAGACAGAGAGAGACAGAGAGAGACAGAGAGAGACAGACAGATAGAGACAGAGATAGAGGGGGGGGGAGGGGAGAAAAGGAACGGAAGGAGGGAGAGAAAGACAAAAAACGACAGACAGACAGACAGACGGACGGACGGACGGACGGACGGACGGACAGACAGACAGACAGACAGACAGACAGACAGACAGACAGACAGACAGACAGACAGACAGACAGACAGACAGACAGACAGACAGACAGACAGACAGACAGACAGACAGACAGACAGACAGATCAGGAAAAGCAGCTGAAACAGAACTATGGCAAAGGACGTAGCAGAAACACAGAACCAAATAACTGGGTGAAAGGAAGGTGATTCTATTTTATCCCTCATCAGCATCACAGGGCTAAACCGAGCTCAGAAGGGACACAGGGTCTCATTAGAGATATCTCACCTGGCGCAGACTGAAAACATTTGTGCATGTGCCTGGAGAAAGGTCCCAGTTGACGGAAATTTTAAATATTGAAATATGGCATTCTTGTAGAAAATTCAATGCTGAACGTTGATTTTAAAAATTTTCAAATATCTCGAGTAGTTTAAAAGGTATGCCACATTTTGTAACACAGGGTGTTGTAAGAGCGAAGTTTGCAGAAAAACCCAATTTTGGGCACATTTTTAATATTTGGCCAAGTACAACATGGTGCAAAAATAACTAATAAAAATATTTTGACTTAAAATATTATAGGATGCCTTCAACAAAACAGTTAAAAGTGTGTTTTCTGAATGAATTAAATTTTTGAACATGTACAACTTTTTGGCATTTTCACCCCATTGCTTAAAAAAAAGTTTTGCCAACAACTGGGACCTTTCTCCGAACACACACACATTTTGTCAAATCCCAAGTAAATCTATTTCTGTCAGTTAATGACAGGCCACGTTCTCTTCATGGAGGGCAAAAGCTACCATTTTGGCACAATTCAATGCAATCCGGCAAAATCCCTCGACACGTTTAGTGTTTAAGGCCAAGAGAGTGTGCATTTGATGAAATTGGGGGGACCAACAGCCAATCAGAATGCTATTACATGTCAGATGACATTAGGAGAGTCGAGTCTTTTTGTATGCGCGTGAAATGCAATTGTGGTCTTGGGGCAAATGTAATAATAAGAACAATAAAGTAGTAAAATATAATAATGATAGAAATTATTTGTATTATTCTATTGTTATAATAATAATTATTATTATTATTAGTATCATCATCATCATCATCATCATCATCATCATCATTATTATTATTACTATTATTATTATTATTATTATTATTATTATAAATAACAACAACAAAAATAATAACAGCTACTAGAGAGGTGGAAGGAGGGAGAGAGAAATATAATATGAAAGATGGACAAGAGGCAAACACATACTCAGTTAAAAACATAACACAGAAGTGGCAACACCAAAGAGGTTATAAATAGCTCTTTAATATTTTGCGCACAACTCGAATTTATAAGAGGATATCTTCGAAAATCACGAATATGTAGCGGGCAAAAAAACAAAAAAACAACAACACTGGTATACAGTACCTTTCTCCAAAGTCGCACATAATGTCCACTCTGCGGATCTGTGACTCGCCTGTGAGGATGTCCACCTCTGTCTCCACTACGGCGGCGCAGTAGGTGAAATAGTTGTATGTCGGCTTGCCCATGTCCGGGGCATTGCTGTAATGGCAGGGAAATGACAGGGCGTCATGAAGGGGTGGTTTTTGTTGTTGTTGTTGTTGGTGGTGGTGGTTGTAATGGTGTTGCTGTTGTTACTGTTGTTGTTGTTGGTGGTGGTGGTGGTGTTGGTGTTGTTGGGAAGTAGTTGTATGTCGGTTGCCCATGTCTGGCCAGGGAAATGAGAGGGCGTCATGAAGGGGAGGTTTTTGTTGTTGTTGGCGATGGTGGTGGTGGTGGTTGTGGTGGTGTTGTTGCTGTTGTTATTGGTGGTAGTGGTGGTTGTTGTGGTGGTGGTGGTGTTGTTGTTGTTGGTAGTGGTTGTGGTGGTGGTTGTGGTGTTGTTGTTGGTGGTGGTTGTGGTGGTGGTTGTGGTGTTGTTGTTGGTGGTGGTGGTGGTGGTTCTGGTGAATGTGGTGTTGTTGTTGTTGGTGGTGGTTGTGGTGGTGGTTGTGGTGTTGTTGCTGTTGTTGTTGGTGGTGGTGGTGGTGGCGTTATTGTTGCTTTTGTTGTTGTTGGTGGTGGTGGTGGTTGTGGTGGTGTTGTTGCTGTTGTTGTTGTGAAGTAGTTGTATGTCGGCTTACCCATGCCTGGGGCATTGCTGTCAGCGAAATGAGAGGTTATCATGAAGGGGAGGTTGTTGTTGTTGTTGTTGTTGTTTTTGTTGATGTTGTTGTTGTTGTTTTTGTTGATGTTGTTGTTGTTGTTTTTGTTGATGTTGTTGTTGTTGTTGTTGCTGAAGTTGCTGTGAAGTAGTTGTACATCAGCTTGCCCGTGTCTTGTGCATTGCTGTCATGGCAGGGAAATGAGAGGGTGTCATGAAGGGGAGATTTTTGCTGGTGGTGGTGGTAGTGGTTGTGGTGTTGTTGTTGTTGCTGTTGTTGTTGCTGTCGTTGTTGCTGTTGCTGTTGTTGTTGTTGTTGTTGTTGTTGTTGTGGTTG